AAATACCATTTGATCCAGCAATTCCATTACTAGGTATATATCCTAAAGGAGAGAGAGACAGGAGAAGAACAGATATATGCACACCCATGTTCACTGCAGCACTATTTACAATAGCAAAAAATGGAAACAATCTAGGTACCCATCAACAGAAGAATGGATAACAAACAATGTACATACACACAATACAGTACTATGGGACACTAAAGAATAATGTGGAATCTGCAGAACACCGCATAACGTGGATGAACTTGGAGGACATTATGCTGAGTGAAATAAATCAATCACAGAAAAACAAATACAGTATTAGTTCATTATTATGAAATGCCAAGGGAAGGTTTATACATGGAAGGAAACATTCTTTGTTGGTTACCAGGGGAGGGAACACTGCCCCCTTCCCCCCCAAAAAAAGTGCACTGACTCGTGTCACTTTAGTTTTGTGTATTTCACTGTACATAAATCATATTTCAATAAAATGTATTTTTAAAAAAAAAGCAAATGGTGTAAAGCAATCTTTCAGGGTAGAGTGCTGTAAATCTAGACAGACAAGTAAGATTACAATATCACCACTTCTATTTTGTCATTCAGGATATGTCTGTATCTTCTACTAGACTATGAACCCCTAGAAGGCAGAGTCTATGTTCACTTAACCTCTGTATTTCCCATAGCTTCACATCTGCCAGGAGCTCAAAATTTTGGTTCAAATGAACTAAACTCATATCCTCAGTAAAGAATGAACTCGTGGGAAACACAAATCATATAAAAGAATTCAGAAGTTTAACTCAAAAATAAAAAACTGAAAAGATGAATTCTTTAGGTTAAGTTAATATCAAAAAGACTGATGATTCATAATAATTTCTTTCCACTTAGATTTACAATCTAAGTGGAAATTGAGCTTTCATCAGAAGCCTTGATCACATTTTCCCAAGAGCCTGTTATCTTTGAGGGCTACTCAAGAGCCTAAAGTTTCCTCCCAAGTATTACTTACATCAAAGTTATTAAGAGCATAAGCCAATTCTCCTCCACCACCTCCCTGGTGCTGGGAGGCATCGTCTGACGCAGTGGCCTGGGCAGCGTTGGAAATGCCTGTGACTGCCTGCTGCAGCTGCTTGTATATCAGGTCCCTGTTGGCCTTGTAGGCTGCGACATCAGGGTGCTGTAGGCACGCCTGGGATGCAGTATAGAGGATGGGAACATTTTTCTGCAGAATTCCTCTAGCTGCAGCCATCTGATCACGATGGCCCACATCTTTCAGTTCCTAGAAGAGTAAAACAAGATATTAGAACAGTCTTTATACATGTTCTACTCGTAAAAATTTGTTAGTAAATGCTAGAAAGTTAGAATTTCTACCAATACCCAACTGTTTCATTAACAGTCTAGCATGAAAGTTAATTATAAGAGAGCCAGTAGTATGGCATAGTAGGTAAGAGTCTGAACTTTGTAATCAGCCAGACCCAGACTTAAATCTCCAACTCTACTCCTTCCTGGCTATTATGATCTTACTTAGACTCTGTATTCAGTTTCTCCTTCTGCAAAATAAGAGCAATAACAGTACCTGCCATATATCTGCTTAGAGGATTAAATGGGATAAGGCACGTAAAGCCCTTGATACAGTACTAAATAATGCACTAAATAATGGGCAAAACATGAAACCACCTAGCATTTTGATTACAGTTACTTGAAGTGATTATGCTGCTACCACAATCAAAACAGAAAGATCATTTAGAGACACATTTAAACTAAGTAAGATTTATTGTAAGAATTTCTTTTTTAAAGATACACAAATTCAGTAAGAGTTTTATGAAAGTTGGGATGGGATACCAGAAGTGTATATAAACCATGGAAACTGACCAGGTGAGGAGATAGCAGCCTATCCTATAAGTACACAACTTCCTTTAGCCCGCTTCCACCCTAAAAGACTACCTTAGGACACAGAACCACAGTTTCTTCACACAATAAAATCAGTTCACTGATCAAAAACTGGTCATTTGGCGTATCTATGAACATAGTAGAGCAAACAGGAGCAAAATTATTAAAACAGTTTAGCCATAACCAAACATCTTGAAGAAATAAGTCACTGAGCCTGGGGGTTCAGGACCATAGTCTTAGGGGACACAAAGGATAGCTGGCATAACAAAGCTCAAAAAGACAATGTTTCACATCCTACTTTGGTGAGTAGTGTCTAGGGTCTTAAAAGCTTATGAGTGGCCATTTAGGGTGCAACTATTGGTTTCTCTATTCAGAGCAAAGAAGAGTGAAGAAAATCAAAGACGCAATCAAACAATTAGTCCAAAGGACTTAATAGATCACTGGAACCCTAGCCTCCATGACTCTAAGATCAGAAGAACTAAATGGTGCCTGGCTATCACTGTTGATCACTCTGAATGGGATTCACAATAGAAGCTCCTAGATGGAGTGGGAGAAAAATGTGGACCAAAATTCAAAACCATAAAAAAGACCAGCTGTGCTGTTCTGGTAAATACTGGTGGATCCCCTAAGACTATGGCCCTTAGCTACTTTTCAGACCTGGAAGTGAACTAGTAACTCCTGTGGCTCAGCTTTTAGGCAAACAACAGATAGGCCTAACAGGTGAACATAATACCAGGGAGGTAGGAGGTCTGGTAGCGTAGTGCCTCAGGCACTTGAATGGTAACAAGAAGGCTGGGGGTTAAACCCATCAGCCACTCCTCGGAAGGAAGATGGGGCAATCTACTTCTGTAGTGATACTGCCTCGGAAACCCAAGGAGGCGTCGCTATGAGCCGGGTCCAACTTGATGGCACATAACAACAACAACAACAATGCACTGCTTAGAACAAGCAATCACAGGAGATCAAAAGGGCTGCATTTGCCCATGGATATAGCTCCAAAGCCAGGAAGGGATAAGACAGAAGAACAGATGGAAAGAGTAAACACAACAGGAAGTGGAAATAGTACCATTACATTGTGGGGATTTTAATCAATTAAAATAAAATGTTTAAGAATTATTGAATGGAAATGCAATCTGTTCTGTAAACTTTCACCCAAATTATAATAAAAAGTGAAAAAACAAACAAAGAACAGGTTATTTGGGAACAAAGCTGGGGTCGATGTGCTCCATGACTGCAATTCAAAAGATATTTGACTATAACATTCTGTATAGACATGGTCTTGAATGACAACTGTCCTTTTTCAATTTGCGTTACTTCATATTTATAATCCAGTTTAAAAAAAAAAAAAAACCTTGAGGTTCTAGCATTGTTTCCTATACAGGCATCTCCTTGCTAGAACACAGGCAGGGTAAGAAATGCTAACAAATTTGTATTACCAACAATAAGAAAGATTGAAATACGGTATCTCTGTTAATTATTTAAATTAGAAAGAAAAAGCCTTTAGTAAATGTAGATCAGCATCACAGAGAAGGAATATAGGATAACCCTGACTGACCGCCAGATCCACTCTATTTCACATGTAATCACAGAATTTCAATGTTAATGTCAAACTGAATTCTAGAGGTTTAAAAATGAGTATTACATGTGTAAACAATAAGAAAAAATTGACTAACCTAGAAAGGCCAGAGTCAGTTACTAAGTTAAAAGTCTTATTTAGTTATTTAATGGCTTATCTTTCTATATGAGCTATTAATTAAGCATTACTGACACCAAACTGGCTTTCCTTTTCTGAAACTTCATCTCGGTATGTTTCTTAGGTTTGCATCTTTATTCCAACTTTTTATGATATGATAGCTCTTCTCCTCCTGAATTCTATTCTCATTTGGCATCTGAATTTGCATATAATAGCTCACAGCCCTCCAAATGCCCTGTAGCTCAGTACATAAGGCTAAATATTCAGAAACAGGACCCTGTGGTTTTGGAAAATTGGTGATCGGTTCAAGATCTAAGTAATTTCTATAACAAGAGGCTGAGGCTGACCATTACACTGAAACATCTGGTGAAAATGTTCTGTGTGACATATTCTAAATATCCTGCCCTCATCACAATCTAAGGGATTCTAACGTAAGTCTTCTAAGAAGGCATTTGCCTTTAAGCATTTATATTGTCTTCTGTTTTATAAAATGCTTTGCAATCAGTTTAGACATTCTTCCTAAGTATCTATAACATAGACAAGTACAGCATCTTATTAAAAACTCACTGCCATCTAATCGATTCTGACTCATAACAACCCCCACTGGGTTTCCAAGGCTGTAAATCTCTATGGAAGTAAATTGCCTCATCTTCTCACAGAGCAGCTGGTGGGTTAGAACTGCTGACCTTCCGGTTAGCAGCCAAATGCCTTATCCACTAAGCCACCAGAACGCCTTACAGCATCTTACCTTGTTGTTGTTGTTGTTATGTGCCTTCAAGTCGGACCCGACTCATAGCGACCCCTCCTTGGGTTTCCGAGGCAGTATCACTACTACGGAAGTAGATTGCCTCATCTTCCTTCCAAGGAGTGGCTGGTGGGTTTGAACCGTCAGCCTTCTGATTAGCAGTCAAGTGCCTTAGGCACTATGCTACCAGAGTTCCCACAGCATCATATAGAGATTACCAAAGGCACTCACATTCACCTGAAGTTATAGGTGCCAGAACTACTAATCAGCAGCTCACTTCCCAAAACTACAGTCAGGCCTGGTGCGATAAACTTCTACTTTTCTAAAGACTACATTTGATTAAATATTCAGAAACAGGACCCTGTGGATTTATTGTTGTTGCTGTTATTTTGCCACTGAGTCGGCCCCAACTCATAGCAACCCCTCCCTGGGTTTCTGAGGCAGTATCACTACAGTAGATTACCCAACCTTCCTTCGGAGGAGTGGCCAGTGTGTTTGAACCGCCAGCCTTCTAGTTAGCAGTCAAGTGCCTTAGGCACTATGCTACCAGAACTCCTATGGATTTATAGACTTGGTTATCATTTCAAGACTCACACTATGACAAGAACTAACCACTAGGCTTAAACAGCTGGTGAACATGCTCTGTATGGCATTTTCTAAATGTCCTGCCCTCATCAAAATGTATCTCTGGTAGATTCCTATTTACCAAGTATAGTGGATATTTGCTAAGCAGAAGGCTGGTGGTTCAAACCCACCAGCCACTCCTCGGAAGGAAGGTTGGGCAATCTACTTCCACAGTGATACTGTCTCAGAAACCCAAGGAGGGATTGCTATGAGTCAGGTCCAACTCGACAGCACATAACAACAATAGATATTTCATTCTATGAAGAAAATGACAACTAAGTATCATTTGCTCTAATTGCTGAAGTGTTCTACTTTCTCTATTTAGGACTGTTTCTGCCTTAGCACAAGGAAACTAGATTTTGTTAAGTAAAGATAGGAAAATGGACACTATCACAAAGCAGCACTATTTATTGCAGTAAGAATGGCTATCAGTCAAAAGTACTGTTTCCAAGATACACAGTACTGACAAGAAATAATTCTGGTGGTACAATGCTTAAGCATTGTGCTGCTAACAAAAATGTTGGCAGTCTGAACCCAACCAGCAGCTCTGCAGGAGAAAGACCTGGTGATCTGCTTCCAGAAAGATAATCCTATGGGGCAATTCTACTCTATCACATGGGGTCACTAATAGTTGAAACTGACTCGACAGCACCTAACAACAATACAGTGTTAATAAATAATCCAGATTATGGAAAAAGTGAGCTATGAATGTAATAAATAAATAACAATGTAATAAATAACTTTATTAAATTACAACCTACTGGTCTACTTCAGACTTCATGAGTCCCCAACCTCATCAATACAGTTATCATTCAGACAAACTCAAGAGCAGCCAAACAAAAAGCATAAAGATGCAGTAACAGAATTCAATGTAATCTGAATTATCCATTCTAAGCAGTGACAAAGAAAGGCTAATTTCTGAGCAATCTATAACACTTTCTCTATTAAAGACTTGAAAATTAAAATGAAAGTTTCCTCTCATTTCCTTCTTAGCAATATGAAACTGGACCCTGAGATACATTTGATCAGATTTCTTCTCTTGAGTACTTAAAGAAACAGTGCATAAGCAAATAACCCAGCTAGGTCTAGGTCACTTACAAACAGAATACGGTAAGAACATTGCCAATGGCTCCATTCAGGTTTTCAGAAAAATAATCATGGAAGCCAGAGTTCACAGAGTAAGCAGGAAATAAGAAACATCGATTCTCATCAAATCTTTCAACAAACCCTATATAATCTGAGTGGATGAAATGTAAACATCAAAACACTCCACTTCTAGGATGTTGGGGAGGCAGGGTCGACAATGTGAGGCAGAGGTGCTCCTCCTCACAAAAACAGGGGCTGATATCAAACCATCATTACCCTCTACCATCACTTTTAGGAGCTCTGGTAGCATAGTGCCTAAGGCACTTGACTGCTAACCAGAAGGCTGGCGGTTCAAACCCACCAGCCACTCCTTGGAAGGAAGGTTGGGCAATCCTACTTCCATAGTGATACTGCCTCAGAAACCCAAGGAGGGGTCGCTATGCATCGGGACCGACTCAACGGCAAATAACAACAACAACAACAACCATCACTTTTACTCTTATAGCCAAAGAGCCTAGAGTGTAGTGGAAATCTAACACTTCTATCCAGCAAATAATACTCTAGGCCAAGAAAGAAGTAACAGATTAAGACAGCACTTACAATCCCATTACATGATGGATGAGCAGTACAGCAAAGTGGTTTATTCAATCATTAAACAAATATTTGTTGAATACTTTCGGGGAGCTCTGGTAGCATAGTGGCTAAAACACTTGCCTGCTAACCAGACGGCTGGCAGTTCAAACCCACCAGTCACTCCTCAGAAGGAAGGCTGGGCAATCCTACTTCCGTAGTGATACTGCCTCGGAAACCCAAGGAGGGGTCGCTATGAGTCGGGTTTGACTCAACGGCACATAACAACAACAACAACAACAACTAGGTCCAGGGAATGCTCTAGGCACTGGAGATTCAAAGCATAATTTAAAAAAAAAAAAGACAAAATCCCTGTGCTCTGGAGCCAGACAGCCTGGATTCAAATCTTGGCTCTACCAATTACTAGATGAATGGCCCTGCACAAATTACTTAACCTCTCTGTGCTATAGTTTCTTCATCTGTAAAAATCAGTTTGTGACTAAGTATTGTATCTACCTTATTTATACTCTTCTGTATAGATTAAATGAGTTTATAAAGGGCTTAGGAGAGTGTTTGGCATATAATAAACGTACTAGCGTTATTCATTATCAACAGCAACATCACCACTACCAAAGAATATCCCAGGAAATTCTTAAGGACAAATAGATAAATTCCAGAAGCCTGCTGACCATGAGGTTTAGCATCCCCTCAGTGGATAGCTGGATGCTCAAATCATAAGGAGACTAAAAGGGTCAGTACACACGCCATAGCCAAATATTGCTCTTCAGGAAATACTCCCTTTTCTGAACTAGAGCTGCTTGCAAAGATGAGAGGTGACTGAGGAGGTAAATTATTACATGTATGGGTAATGAAGAAAAAGTCAAAGGTGAGAACAGTCCAAGGGGCTGAACATACTGCAGTGGAGTTCTTCCAAACAATACATAGTGTGAAAATATGATCAGTCAGTGAAGAAGGCCAGTGAATAGTACTCAAAGGGAGAATAAAGTTTCTACCAGGCCCCTTTGGATAAAGTGAGTGGGAAGTTTAATTCCCAAGAAAAGCACTGACTTATAGGCACACACATCAACACCCAGGTCCTATTAAAGGCCACTTTGTGAATAGAAGGCACACAAGAGCCTACAGCCAGCTTATCACTGGTTTTTCTTGTAGGAGGTTAAAGCTATGGATTAAGGAATTAGGCTCCAGGAAAACTACAATGACTATGACATAATACAAAATGAAGAAAAACTTTAAAATAGGAACATGCATCATTCAAAATCCCAACTGAAAATAATAAAATCAAATTGGGTAATTCAAAGATGGTTTGGGGACTATGTTACAAAGATACAGGCAAAGTATAAGGAAACCACAAGGCTGCTTAGGACACTTTGACCTGAAGAGGGCAAGAGGAGGCAGCAGTTACAGAATCAAGGGACCAAGGTGAATTTTAGCCAGCCAGGACAACAGCAAGGAGAAAGGGCAATTATGACCCAGCCTCACTCTCCTTCATCCTCGTGTCCTACTAGAAGTCCAACTTGGCCAACCCCAAAGGGCAAAAGAGCCCATGGATACAAGCCAGACAGATCAAGTTCCCGGGGCAGAACAGGGTAAAGGGTAGAAAGCAGATATGGAGAGATAAACAGAAGATTAACCAGTATGTACATAGTAAATTCAGAATTTTTGTGACATCTTATTTCAGAAATGTTTGACATTTACTTTTTATTTTTTAAAAAACACATCAGGAATCATGTGTAAGGAACTTTTCATGGATTCATAGCAACACAGAATTAAAACTCAGCCAGTATTTACTTTCCATTAAGTTCCATACAGGATTCTCTACTGTTACTATGTTTTACCTCAAGAACATCATCTACTTACTTATTCTACCATTTTGCAAAGATACACAATATTAAGTGGTAATCTAAATGTTCTTTCTTTACTCAAATAATAGTAAGTCTTCATAAGCCAGTATGAGACTAGGTTTTTAAGAAAGCACCATTCACCAAACTGTTTTTATTTCACTTATTCAAATGAGAACTTCTATCAAGTACATTAAATACATTATGAACATGAAACAGACTAGCTTGCCATATCTATGGAATTATCAGACTATTCAACAAGGTCTTCTCAGGATCAGTCAGTACCAACAAAAAGAAAACACCTACTCATGATTTATGAGGTAAAAAGATAAGCCAATAGAAGAATAAATGATAAAAGCACAGTGAGCCTACACTAACTAAATTACTAACTGAATTGTATGTACTGGAAATATTAAAACCAGGATCTTAAGTGTTCAGAGTCAGTTTGATAACACCTTGTAAGTAACATGGACTTTAATATTATGGCTTGAAATATGAGCAAGAGCTAATACTCACTGATTGCCCATGCTGAGGGACTACTTAGTACTGGATACTGTATGTAACACTTTACACACATTATTTAACTTAATCTCCTCAACCCCATGGGAGTAGAGAGTTTACATTCATGTATACACAACTGAATGAAAGTTACTAAGAAGTGCCCAAAGATGATGCTGTTATATATTAGACAAAGTACTGACAGTCATCTTCCTTTAATAAAAATGGCACTGTTGGTTACCTACCCAAACCCATTCTCTGCCCCCACCCCTTCCCCATTTTCCTTCTGCCAGCCAGAGCTCTTGTTGGATGTTCCTGTCTTCAGGAAGGCTACCCCCATCATGGGGCAGAAGGTGAATCTTGATTTCTAAGAGTCAGGCATGGTGACTCCTTTCCTTTTGCAAATGATAGTGGGGAATGAGCATGTTACACAATTCACCTTTAGGCAAGACTGCTATGGGCTTCTAGATTGTTAACTTACAAAGAGGAAGACATGAAAGAAACAGTCTTGCTTTCCCACTGGATGTGTTTATCTGTACAAATTTCATGCCTAGAGCTTCTGCAGCCATGTAAGTTAACAGGACATTGGAAATGGCAATGCTGGAAAATGTCGAGAATCTGGATCCTTGGTAACACTGCAGGGCCGCTAAATCCAACAACACTGGAGTCTCTTAACCTACTGTGAGAAAGTACAACCCCCCATCGTTCAAGCCATTTTGGAGCTGGGTTTTCTGTGAACTAAAGTGCAAAGAGTCCTATCTGATACAGACACTGGCTAATGATAAGAATTAGTTTTTTCCAGGACTTTTTAGAAAGTAAGAAGTAAAAGCACAAGTTTGATTGAGACTATCAAAGTTGTATGTAGCTGCATGACTACATGTGCATCTTCCCTGCAGAAAACACACCTAAAACCCACAGCATCCCACAGAAAGGGCACAGGAAAGGTTATAAAGCAACCCAAGAGCGAAAACTCAAAAAGCTATCAAAGCTTGGAAAAATAAGAACACAATTCCATGTGCTACACAACATAAATTCATAATACTATGGAAATTACCAATAATGATTATTAAGAATTACTTAAAAAATGATAAAATACTTGGCAGGGACAGAGATACCTTCTGATATAGATGTAATTTAACATGTTTAGATTTGTCTTTAATTCTGAATTAAACTTTACCACCCCCTCAGGTTAATCCTTGAATGCACCTAACAAAACTCTATCACCTTTAGGCATTACTTTCATCTTAAATCACAAAGTTACTTAAAGTAAAATTATCCAAAAAAATTATAATAGCAACTTAATTATAGCTTTATTAAATGCAATAGTGAAAGGATGCTTCTTAATTGTATTAATGACACTGTATTGGCAAAGGGAAATGATGATACCTCCAGAAAACGTAAGCAAATGGAATTTCTCAATTGATAATAATATAAATGACCTTAATATATCCCCCAAATCATGACTTTACCTGTTGTCTTTTGGCTGCCATAATGTTCAGCTTATCCACTTCAGGTTTCAGTGCTTTATACTGTATTCCTAAGTCTTGTTCAGTGCCAGCGTTCCTCAGTTTTAAGATACCATCTTCCACCTATAAAACAAGCCCCCAAAAAAAGAAAAATTCTGAACTATGTAAGTCTATATATTAAAAAGATAGTGTGCTAGATTTTTCACTTTTCTTTGAGCAGCTATTACATGGAAGCAATATAGGAAGTACTGGCCCACCGCAGGAAGGATAGCAATATACCGACCTCTAACTAAACATTTAAGGAGCCCTGGTGGTGCAATGGTTAAATGCTCAGATGCTAAACAAAAGGTTGGCAGTTTGAACCAACCCAGCAGTGCCACAGAAGAAATGTCTGACAATCTGCTTCCATAAAGATTACAGGCAAGATGAGTAGCGACTGGGATCTTAAAAGCTTGCAAGCAGCCATCTAGATGCAACGATGGGTCTCTCCTCGTCCAGAGCAAAGAAGAATGAAAAAAACCAAAGATTCATGGAAACAATTAGTCCTAGCAACTGGTACACCATGTGATCCTCAGCCTGTACGACTATGAGACCAGAAGAACTAGATCGTGCCTGGCTACTTCTGTCAACCACTCAGAGGGGGATTCAAGTAGAAGATCCTGGATAGAGAAGGAGAACAATGTGGAACAAAACTTAATATCATTTGGAAATGAAAAAAAGGGACCAGGTTTGCTGGTCTGATAGAGCTTGGTGGAACCACTCAGACTATGGCCCCTAGCTCCCCTTCAGGTCTGGAACTGAACCCACACCTGTGGCTTCCAGACAAACAAAAGACAGGCATAGGATTGAACATTTACCTGAGGTAGATACACTCCTTGGAGAGAACAATCATGGGAGAAAGAAGGGCTGTTTATGCACAGGGAGACAGCTCAGGGGGCAGGAGTGCATGGAGGGATGGACACAGGGAAGAGGTAACTATTGGGCGAAGTGGGAGAGGAGCTGTTGCAGTGGTAAACTGTGGTCAATGTCATGAGACAGAGTGTATGTGAACTGCTGTATGGAAAGTGAATTTGCTCTGTAAACTTTCACCCAAATCACAATTGAAAAAAAAAGATTACAGCCAAGAAAACCCTGTAAGTTCCACTCTGTCACATGGGGTCACCATGAGTCAAAATCAACTTGACAGCACCCAAAACAACAACAATCTGTGTACAATTTAATGTATTCTTGGTTCTTCAACTCTGGAACTTTACTGGTACAAGGAAATATTTAATCATAACTACAAAAAGGGAAGGAGTCAATACAATATTTCTGCTACAAATTCTTTATTAGAAACAGGCCAACACTGATTCACAGTGGAGCCAGCATCACATAGGCTTGGAATAGAGGAGTAAGAGGAAATTAAACAAAAACATCCCTGGCCCATTAGGTAAACCAAGTTTAAAACCCCACTAAAATCACAAAGAATGCTGAACAAAGTCCAGCCAGCAGCAACCTCACTGTGATAGAACAAATTACAGACACAGGCCTGTACTTACAACTTTCAGCTGAACAAGTAATTTGTAGACATCTGCCATGTCAGCCAAAATCAGCAGCCGGGTAACAGCCGAGAGCAAAGCTCGAGCCGCCCTCACCATGTTGCCACGCTTCACGGAAGAACAGGGATCATCCGCAAACTCTCCAGCAGCACTCTTCATTAAGTCACCTGTTTCAGAATGAAAACATGAATTCAGCAGGAATGTATCAAATAACTGGCTTATATAAAAATAACTCCAACTTTATAGATATTATGCCCAGATTCAAAGGTTTTATTTTGGTTGGGTTTTTTCCTTTTGTTTCACAGCTGTCACTAGGAAAAGAATCAGCATGTATTGCTAGCAAAAGCACAATACCCAAAATTTGATTTGGCACTGCATATCAACAGTTGTAAAAATACTTCTTCCCTTTGATCTAATAATACCCTTTCCAGAATATATTCTAAAACTGCAATTCAAGATTTGAGTGGGAGGAAAAAGGGATCTAATGCAATCTACTACACTCTCACATCCACAGGATGATACAGAAGCATGGCAACAACTATGCAGGACCAACATTCCATTAGCTATCCCAAGTATCTAATGTGTAAAACCTTCATTCATGCTCCACAATAAACACCTAAGAAAATAAATTATGGTATGGCCTAACAATTGACTATTATACAGATATTAACATATATAAAAACAATTATTAAAAGTTTATGATAAAATCTTAAGCAGAAAAAGAAATTATAAATGTGTTCTGTGTTTTAAAAAAACAAGAAAATTGGAAGTCAAAGGCAAATAATAGTTATCACTAGGTTACAATCTGCCTCTTTACATTATTCTGTACCTAATTAAAGCATTTTCCACAATGAATACGTATTATATCTCTAAACAGAAAAAATAAATAAATAAGCCCAAAAGGTATAGTACATTTCACTATAGTTACTAGGGATATGCAACTTACAGAATCCTGTGTTCAATGATGCTGAATTTATAAAATTTCTTGGAAAGTCTATAAAACAACTTACACTTTTTGTTATCTATTTCTATTAATTGTTTAAGGTGTCTATTGTCCCTCTCTTTTCATAGGTGGAAGCAACTGTAGGGCCAGGGCTATGTCTTGTCCACATGTTGTACTGACTGTACTCTGTATGGTGACTGTCTTTTCACTCCTAGAAAACCAATTACTCCCTACCTTGGGTAAGGACAACCACTTGGGGTTAATTCCTAAAGGCCATTCACTCTGCCATCTCTTCCATGAATGCAAAAAAAAAAAAAAAAAAGGTACTCTTAAGAAGTCTAGCTATTTCTGAAAAGACCTACCAAATTTCTCCTAGCTGTCAACTTTTGTTGCAGAAATATCCTGGAGAAAAAAAGAGTCAAACTTACCCTGAGATTCATGTATAAATTAGGCTTAGAAATATTATATAGTAAAAGTATAGACAGGCTACACATATTTGTCAGGTCAGAAACAACTCATGATGAAGAAATTTAGAGTTAAAAATAAAAGTTTTTCCTCAATCTAATAAAGTCTTCTCTTATACCTTTAGACAGATACAGACATATGGCAACCATTGAGTGGATATACAACATTAACAATGGTATCTGTTGTTGTTGTTGTTAAGTGCCGTCGAGTCGTTTCCGACTCATAGCGACCCCATGCACAGCAGAACGAAACACTGCC